GTACCGAAATTACTTAACAGGGAGGGTAGATTACTATTCATTAACCCACCCGATTGTGGAATGGAGGCAGCTAAACTCTTCCGAAGCGATTGAAATTGCCGATGGCGGAAATAGTTTAAATTATAAGAACATTTCGATCCCTCTGTGAATGCATGTCACTTTTGGAACCTTCGCTTTCAGAGGGGAAGAAACTTTCAGAATCTGTCAAGGACATCTTGCGGGGTGGTTCGTGCGCGATCGTGTAAATGAGGAGACGAAGAGGGAAACAATTCTTGCATTTTAACAGAAGCTAGTCCTGCTTCAGAGACATTACGGCAACACCAGAAGCTGTTGGCAGGCAAGTTTAATGGTCATTTTGTGGAATAGCTCTTAAAGCCAGATAACAATATCCCCCCTCGCGTTCTTTCATGAAACCCCTGCTTTGTCATGGACACTGTTGGTCTGAAATGAACTTCCCGAGTCCTCGCTCGTGTTCCCAACACGGCGCTATCTGCAGTAAGCTAGACGTGGATGACACACTGACTTTGTATGAACGGCTGGATCGCGTAATATACCGGACTTTGCTACTTGTCGATCGGGCCATGCATTCTGAATGAGGACTTTCTCATTTTCGCGTTGATTCCCTGAATAGACTAAAACTTTGTACCCTAAACGTATTTATCATAGCATAAAACAGTAGAACGTAGGTGAAAAGAATTCAGGCACTTATTGGCGCAAATGCATTTTTTACATCAAAGGGGAAACTGCACAGAGTCTGGGTCCTGTCGTTTTGCGATGAATTTTCAAAAAAGGGGATGCTAGAACTTCCGGAAAAAAACTCTGCACATGCGAACGTCACACATAAGAGAACCAACGGTTGTGGTTCGGGTGGATAACGATTAATCAAAATCACACTAGAGGAGCAACGACAACCTTTGCTACAACGCCAGCCCACACACATGAGAACCATAGGCAGTGGAAAAGCCCAGGAATTGTTTGGAGAAGTAAAGCAAAGACGGGTGGTCCTGTGATGGAAATATGTTGCACAAGCAAATGCTTCGTTGGGCTGTCGAAGTCGGTAAACAAGGATCTCGTGGGCTGCATCGCAGGCTTCGCTTGGATAATGACAATTTACAAGCAGAGCAGACGCCGATCATTCGCTTATTACTCACCATTGTATGTTTCTGCAATAGTAAATTTGCAGCTCGAATGGCACTGACCTAAGCAGCCGTCAAATGCAGTCAAATTGCCTGTTTTGAGTAACAAAGTGAACCCCCTTCAGTCACGAGGTTAACTTTACAAATGGGCCCCGCACACTTACCAACCAGTTATCCCCGCTGTCGAGGTCGGGTAACAATTGTCTTCCAGGGAAATAGCCTACCGCCACTGCTGCCTTTATTTTCTTTCGGCCATTTTTTCCATCAGCCTAGCTTCTTAGCCGTAGAGCTGCAGTCAGTGAATTTCATTTGCGTCATTTCTTCAAAGACGTCCTCGGCATTTCAAGTGGGCCGATTTGAAGAAAAACATCCGGACAAAATGCGCGAAGTGGAGAGTCAGCTGCTGAATGTCCGTGGACCGACACACAGTCTCCAAACTTCCTCGCGGAACTGTTTTAGGCCACAGCAAAGGTTAGATTCTAGTTTTCAGGGAAATTGTGGCTGATTGTGTTTCAGAATACTGGCAGTGTCCCCACAGCCGGCTGCGCTGCAAATGTGTTGAACCAAAATGGGGGGAGGGGTCAGATTTGTCCACGGCACGCGTTACTCTGTCAGCGAAGCATCCGTGTGAGGCACAACTACTGGTCTTCATTGAGCGGGGCGTGCTGACACGCCTAGGCGCGCACCTCGAGCCGTGTCAGCTACTGCATCTTATCCAAACACCAGCTCGGACAGTCGACTGGTGCATGGGAGAGGAAAGAGGGAAAGCGGTTGACACTGGGAAAACCATCCTCATGGCAAATCAGCGCACTCCTCACTGCAATAAGTCCAACGCGCCTGCTTCTATTGTGGCTCACTAACAGTTATAGCTTAGGGGTTGTCAAGGGGGGGGGGTTAAATCGGTCCTTCTCAGAACGCAGGGTCGGAATGCAGTGACCCCTGTTCAATATGGCCGTCACTGCACTACCACGCCTGTTAGTAACGAGGCGCTTTCACAAACTTCCGGTTCGTGTTGGGGGGGAACCAGGTCGGATGTGGCGCGCGTAGATGGGCTGTTTGGCTTCACTCGTCGCTGGGTCCGTGCCCGCCTCCGGTCGCCTTGATGTCGTCTTGCCATCCAAGTAAAGGGCATGAGGGGGAGATGGTGTGTGGTAGGTGCAACGCCAGTCCGCATCAGTTTAAAATAATTCACGCGCAAGTCACCGCCCTGCGCCTACTCCGTGGTGCAAACCGTGGACTTCGTAGCTCCCCACAATCGCACTGTCAGCCAGTGGTTCTGGGTTACCTGAATAGGCGGTACTGTTTCGCTATCCTGGGACTCTCAGAGCTGAGCGCTCAACTTTGTTGGGAGTGCCTACACTCCCAAAAACAAGAGCCAATTAATCATTGGAGACCACGTGCGTTTGCCCTCGCTCTCTACAGCACTGTCATCTTAATCGAGCGCCTCTCTATTGGCTGCTACCCTCTTCCCGAAGGTCATTGGACTGAATGCCGGCGAACCACAGTAGGGTGGTTATAAATATGCGTCACCTTTCAGCTAGTCGCGACTTGCGGTGTTTTTCTAATACACTTCCGTGGCCGACCGTGTTTTCTTTGTCTGCTACTTTGATATTGGGGACAAGGGTCGAGTGCGTGTACGCTCCACGGGCTTTCAAGTACCAGGCGGGTCATAACAAACTTTCATTATATCTCGGTCTTCGAGACTGATCGGGTGGCATCAGTTCCCTCTTGATTCGACCTCAAATGAACTCTCGCCGGTGTAATGTCTGAGTAAATGAGCTCCTTTTCTGTCCCATTGGGAGATTGGCATGTATGTGACGCACGAGAGAGGCGGGTGAATGCCTGCACAAGATGTCGGAAAAGGTATGCGGGCCATCCCCCGCATGATGCACTGCAAGTGTCGGTTTGTACGGAGAGAACCGTAGGGACTTACTGCCTCGTATGTTGTTGATGATCTGGCCGCCGCCGCCGCCGCTTCTCGGAAGAGCGAAAATGAAGTCATAAGTCTGGCCGCACTGAGGGGCAATTCCGCGTAACGCGAAAAAAAACGGGACTAATCTGAGCCAAACCGCCACGTCACTGATCCACACTGAGTGGCAGATTGGGGGCGTAAATACCACTAATTAATTAGTTGTTACACTTTCTTGTCATCACTAGATAAAAAGTCAGTAAATGTCGAACGTCTGAGTGGGCGGCAGGTGAGTGGATTGCTGTCTCATATAGGTTGGTAATGAAGGCAATAATCGGGGCAGCGTAGAATAAAAAACAATTAGGAATGTATAAGGGAAAAAGTGAAGGCATGTCTGCGTTTCAGGACGGTGGCCGCATACTGAGGGCGAGCTGTGGGCGGGATCACGTTTTAACGATAGTTGTCCATGCTGCCCTCATTGCGGTTACTTCCGAAAATGCATTCCTGTATTCCAGTCTCGAAAACGAAAGACAACAGACTGTATCGCACTGTGAAGCTGGCATGAGAAAGATCCATTCTTAAAATATTAATAGATAATATAACACAAAAAATGAGTTACGCTTCTAACTGTCCTCTTATAAGCATTATAAACCCAAGAAATGTCTCCAGAAATCACCGGACCAACTTTCATAAAGGAGGACGCTCGCACGTTTAATGACCTCTATGAGAAGAACGAATCGGAATTCGAGGCTATTATATCTGGTGGGTTATATTTTATCGAGCACACGGTCCAGCTCTAGCAGCCATCCTCTTGCTACCGAGCTAGGTAAGCTGTAAAAAGAAGTGCGTGAAATTGTTCGCTATAGTCTATCCTATAGGCTTGATTCACTTGTTGGAGATCCCGAGGGAGCGAAACACTCGCCTTATGCCCACCTTCGCATATGGGCACGCAGCCGAGACCGTTTAAAGTCAAGTGGAGTTTCGCAAATTTTCAAGCCAAAGGAATACCGCGAACTTGTCAGTCGCCGCCTACCGTGACGAAAACTCCTCCTCCTCCTTCTCCTCCTTCTAAAGCCTCGAGAGCAATGGTAATTTCAGAGAACTGTGTGTTCTCGTCTCTCTCTCTCTCTCTCTATGTTTGAGTTTTTTCTCATAGCAACTCATAGCTCGTTGTGTTTCCAAACTGTAATCGTCCCCTCCATGTAAAGTTTCCAAAACTACTTTAGAACGTTCAGGCGACAGTCCATCTAAGAGTGTTTCCTATCATCCTACCGCAAACATTCACTGGCGGTATTAAGTGGTCTTCTTTTATGAAACCATAAATGTTTGCGTTAGCCAGTGGAATCTCAGCGTAAATTGCAGCCCATAATCAAATGAAAGAAGGAAATCCCGCGGCTCCAATTATAGTACCGAACGGAAACGGATATGTATGTCCCCCTCTCCCTGATATATGACGAAAGGCACTCGCAATACGAGACTGGTGATAATAGGAGCCTTTTTTGGAGAGGAAGGGCTTTGTATCTATATTTGTACTAGGGCAAAAACCACATTTGCTCTCCACGCTCGTTTTAATATACTAAAAGGTACACTTTGTAGAATGATAGTTCCGGGGAGGCACACATATCCGTTTTTTACCTTGATGCCTTTAGCAGTTAGGTCTCATCTGCGAATGTATACTTGGTAGTCTACTATCTGAAAAGACCTTCATTGACTCGACTAGGCTCTGGTCAGAATGTTGGCTCAAGCTTGCTTAAGCATATAAACGCCTTTTGCTGACCGAAGTTCCGCTTTTTCTCCTCCGTTATTCGCTGGAACTTACTTCATTGAAGACTTGAGCATCTGATTCACTGGCAGTGTTAATGGTAGCGACAGCAACAACGATCGTAGTAGTAGTAGCAGCAGCAGCAGCAGTAGTAGTAGTAGTAGTAGTAGTAGTAGTAGTAGTAGTATTAATACTAGTAGCAATAGTAGTAGTAGTAGCAGCAGCAGCAGCAGCAGTAGTAGTAGTAGTAGTAGTAGTAGTAGTAGTAGTAGTAGTAGTAGTAGTAGTAGTAGTAGTAGTAGTAGTAGTAGTAGTAGTAGTAGTAGTAAATACTCTCGAACCTCTGCTGAAATTTTAAAAGTAATCGCTGAACATCGACTCTTCCTCCGATCACAACTCAAATTCGCTCTAACAGTAACGGGAACTGTATACTTTGCGGACTTCTGCAAATACCGGATGTTAGGCATTTAGCATTTGAGGTCCGTAAAATGACGAGTCTTGGATTCAGGAGGTTGTATACTGATTCAGTTGAGTTTTTGACCACCTACTGATGGACCACATGTTGATTACTTTGAGCACGAGCAACCGACCCAATTATCGCTTCCCATCTGGCGTCCACGGCCAAACTCAAAACGTTGGGAACAATATGACATTAACGTCATAGCCCAGTAGCTCGAGACAATGCGACCGTGTAGGCGCCCACCTGTTTCCCTGGACCACCTCGGTTTTGACCGGGAATCACACCGACATCTATCTCTTCCAGTCATCGAAATAAGTGCTCTGTTCGCCTGACGATTCGGATCCAATAAATGGCTCACCCTTACACACGGAAAGGCACATTGACTGCACTATTTAATATAATGGGCTGCTGTTCAGTTGCATTAGTACTAGCACTACCGATAAAGACGTCATCAGCCAGCCATATCCAATCCCGAGGCAGGCAACCTCCGGGGCTCGAACTCGATACCTGCCGGTCCAACGCCCAAAAAATCGAACAGCGAGCTCGTCGTCATGTCGGTTATTACTGGGTATATTAAGAGTAGTAGAGAGGGGCGCACCTCGGAGGTTGATGACTCGGAGCTGGGTATGTCTGGTCGATGACGGCTGGCGGGCGAGAAATGGCCGTTTCAATTCCCCCCGTGTCTTTGTCGGCAATGCCATTCTGTCTGTATTCCGCGTCAGTGTGGACTCCTGGCAAGGCTCCAGAGGGAGCCCAAGGCACAATGGGACGTGAGAGTTCTGCAACTTGATCATTGCACCCCCTCCCCCTTACCACTTTATGAATGCCGGTTGGTATGTTGTGCACGAGACCTCGATCATCCAGTGTTTATAGCTGATCCTATTTACTTGCGCGGAGCTCATATGACCAGTCAGCTCTGAGTGATGGATCGCCGAGTCCTCAACGCCTGTTGTCATGCTTATGATTTCGACGCTCCACCCACCATCAACATCTCCTTAAGTAATATGTGATTAATTGACTTTGCCAGACAGTACGTTAAGACCACCAATTCTGGAGAAGGTTATTTGCGTTTGTCGGCTGACTGCAGACCAGAGAACTTCGGCATAAGGCCCTGGCGAAATGCGTTTAGCACCTATTGCAGGAAATTAGATTCGAGACTTCGAAACCGTTGCACAGTTGTGGCGTGTGGGTCGTAGTTCATGAGTCCGCCTTACTTAATATCACTGTTGGCACGTGTTCACCTGTCAGCATCAAGGATACTGCTCCCGTTACCTTAACTTACTTGCCTTGTCCGCAATTCCGTTCGACGACCCCGGAGTGCTTTACTTTGTCAGTTGGTCTCCGGATCGAGGAAGCTGCAAAGCGAGAATTTCCAAAAACACTTCCGTTCGACCAAAAGGTTGGAAGTCAGCATTTCTGAAGCGAGCGAACTCATAAAACCGTCGTTATTAAAATCACGTTTTCTTACTTGTGCCGGCGAACGCGTTACTTGTTTCATTCAGGCACCCAAATGCTGACTATGCACATAACTATTACCCTAGTCGACTTTGTCTATGACTGTTTTTCGCGAAGTCGCTTTGCATTATTGACCTGCGGGAACTTTGTGAACTCTTGTTCTCAAAAATCATTTACGAGTCTAATAATGGACGCGTCGTTGGGTGAATTGTCTTAACCATATGGAAAGATCCTAGGCAAGGTCGAGCAGTTTAACAATAAATAAGGCTGAACTGAGCTACTGCTCGTTGTAAAAAGACATTCTGTTTGGTTATTTTTCTGATTTAGTCTCCAAAAACTCAGACTTAAGTTGTCGGAACCCTACGTGTCAGAGACGGCCGCGTAGGCGTAGCGCTGGGGAATCCACCAATGAGCTGAAACACATCGTTTTTGCCTCATTCAGACGCCGACAATCGGCACAACACTTGACATATCGTTTGGCTAGTACCTGCTTCCAGCATATAACGAAGCACACTCCTATGCGCATTCGCTTATCTCTGATGTGATTGGCTGGTTATCACTGCCGCACATCCAAACTCCGCGATGTCCGACTCCACAGTGTGGAGATGACCGAATTCAACTCCACTGCCTGCATAAAGACTGGAACTGGTCTCGTAAACTGCATTGTGACGCTTTAACTTCAATCTCGTCGGATGCAGTTAGAGGAAGTAATTGTGCATCGTCTGCCTACCAGGACTCGACATTTTCACAGTAGCTTCCTCCGACGGCAGATAAGTGATGAAACGCATGTCCAAGATTCTGGATGTTGTCTCTCTATCCGAGGGCGTCGCAAAAAGTATTCCATGTGAACAAATATTACACTGGCCAGATTGTTTGTTTGCTGTCACACAACTGTAACAGCGTATTGTCTTGCATGCTTACCAACTAAAACACCCGTAGCGTCCCTTTTCATTTCACGCCAGGTAGTTAGTATGTTTGCATTTTTTTCGAATTTCTAAGGATGCTGCCTGCTACATCAAAACATATTTCGTCTCCATGCTCAGCAAAACCTGGGGGTCTATCTCAGAGTGTTGGGCTCGATCAGTCCGTCCAAAAAAGATTGGAGCTTCAATTTAATCTCAAAAACTCCAAATAAATTTCAAAGAACGGAAACTGAGACTCACTTCCACTAGGACGCTGGCGAAAAGTTCGAACAAGGTAGATACTGTTAGCGGCTCTCCTGGTGCGACTGGAAAAACTGCAGACATCCGTCCATGACTCCTCCACGACACCAACACGGAAGGCGCAACATTCGACATGAGAGTTTGCACACATGTACTGTTAATTACAATTGTCGGTTATAATAGCGGTGACCTGGTACGTCAGTTTCCGACGAATGCTGTGGAGCCGGAATTGTCTTCTGACACGGAGCATCGAGCTCTGATATAACTTAGCAACACTCTACTTCGTTCAAATCGGTTTGAGCGGGAGACCCACAAATTAAGATTTCTTGGAAGGAGGGTATATTTCGGGCAGTCTGCCAACAGGGCAGGAAAGTTAATTCTGTTTAGGATGCGGGTAGGGGGTTGTTTATGTGTCTCCCTCCTCCCCAACAGGACACGGAAATCGGAACCCCCACCATGGATTTTGTCTTACGCTAAATTTCAGGGACATTAGGGTTACGGTTGGGGTTAAGAGAAAGGTTGCGGTTAAGGTTTGGGTCAGTGTTAGTGTTGGGGTTGGGACACGAGAATGAGTACTCTTCCTGGAATTTAGCTCAAAGCCACTTGTACTACGGAGTGGAGGAGGGGGAGTGATAGACCGCCCACTTGATCGCTTTGCCACTTTGACCTTCTGTCGACCACACGCTCCCTATCGATTTGCTGCTTAGACCGCGCGACACTTGACGCTGGCCTGGCGAGAACTCGAAGCCAATCAACGCCGTTCCATCGCTGATTGGCTACACAGGCGGACTCAACTCAGACAAAACAAAGGCGAACACGCGCTGGGGGCCAAGAACCTCAACGGCGGACACTGGCACAGACAACACGCCTGAAGCCTGCTGATCCTCCTGTACGTGCTGTCGCAACAGTAAAGTTCGACCAGCATAGTCTGTCTTCCTTGACTTGTGATTTGGGTACCTTCGTGTTGTCGCATCAGCTCCCATTTCGAGGCTGTCATAAATACGGTACTCGACAGAAAGATTATGAGACGGTTAATTTAGCGTACTTATTCGCTTAGCACAGTGAACAAGGAGTCCTTGTGTCATAGAAAGTGCTTTTCTGATTTACCATATCCATGAGGTGCAGCGCATTTCATATGCATCGCAAAAGGTATTCCCTGAAATTCTTTTAGGAGGGGAGTTCACCACTTTTCCCCTAAGTGCATACCGAGGCAAAAGTGAGTCCTTGGTACCTCTTGGCGACCAAAAGACCACATGTTTCTGTGCAAGTATTAAATTTGAATTTTGTTGCAGGCCATCTAGCTGAACACCCTAACTTGAGCGACTTTGTGTATTTCTAAGTGCATTCATTTCGTCAGCTTCGACGCCTAGTGGGCCTGCAAGTGCTCGGCTTCGTACGATTAACATACACTGGACTCATACCCAGCGTTTCCTAATGGCCGTCTTGTGACTTACGATTTCCGAGCGCCTTGTCGATCGAAACCACCTTGGTCCTGACGCTGCGGCCGGATTTTGAGGAATGTACTTTCTCGAAAGCGCTGACCTTTGATAAGCCGCGTGTGTGGAAGAAGCCCATCAGCAGATAGAAGATTCTTGAGGCGCAAACTCCAGGAGCTCACAGCCTTCACTAAGAGACGTAGACATCTATTGAAGCAGTTGGTATTCTTATGGGACACACTGCCGACATGAAAGGCGCGCACAGACCATCAGCGGCTGCCACTTTTCGCGCGCGCATGCATTCAGAGACATACAATCTTGGCAACACGCCCACACAGATCTGTACACTGTTCATTGGTTCACCAGCCAAGAGATCCTAATGCCTAATGGGCAAAGTGCTTACATCAGTTTTGTGTACTTGGGAGGAGAGGGGTGGAAGAAATTGTGATTTCGTCTACTAAGATCTAAGGTGGGGCCATTTGGTTGTCGGCAGGCTTTTAAACTGACGGCATCAGTTTCGGTACATGTGCACGTCAGTAGGGCTGAGCTGCAGATGATTCCAGGCTAATGGCAGCGGTTTCCATTTTCTGAGAAAAGCGGTGGTAGTAACGATGAGCGCACACCACAGCGCGACAGTCAAGAAGAAGAATTATTGTTGACGGCTTAATGTGATGATTAGGTAAGATTACACCTAAATGAATAAACTACAATAGCTTCGGTTAACAGACGTAAGAGATCCGGGTCGATAAGCTGAGAAATGTGTAGGACTTATCGGATCAGAGGAATTGCATGGCTGACATTTCGGAGGGCTTGGCCGGCTCTCCACTACAACAGCGACAACAATTCACCGCCGTCTAATGCAATCCGAAGACACACTGCTACCCACTGAAACCTCGGTGGTTGTCTATCAAATATGCTGTAAAGATATAAACTCCAACAACGTTGGGGAAACTGGACGGAAATTGCAGACCCGCCTACACGAGCACAAACCAGCAACTCGGAATTCGACTCGAACTTACAGCTGGCAATTCACATCGGAGAAATTGGCCACAATTTTGACTTTCAAGGAGCAACTGTTTTCGGCCGGGTCGCCTTAAGGACAAAACGTGGGACACTTGAGGCTTGGCACTTAGATGTCAACTCTATCAACGGGCATATAGACCTTCATGCGCCCCGTAAAGTCCTACGTCATTACATACGCCATGATCGGGACAAGACGGGACTTAAAAATACCGAACAAATACGATTCGTCGACTAATTCACCCGAAAGGGGAGGACAGGTGCAAGCGCCCCCCACTGACATGACGACACAACGCAGGAGGCAGCTAAGGTCCACAAACAACGGCCAGAACACCAAACCAGCGAAAGACTAAAAAGTCGATCGGCTTAATCAACTAATTCGGCTGTTTGTATAAAATTCTGGCCGATTTTTGCACAAAGCTCTTTGATAATGAAGACCACGCCAAGCCCTCCAAAATGTCAGTCAGGCAATTCCCCTGATCTGGTAAACCTTACATTTTTATCATACAATAGTTCTGCATAGAGAATGGGAATGAGAGCATGGTGTTTGCAAGCACTTTGCCAGCACAGATTTTCAAAGTTACGCTGGGGGGTAATTCTCGTCGTTTTTTAAAAGCAGCGCCTTGACGTAGGACAGACGGTAACCGAAAACAATGGGCAAGCAGTGTTGTTTTCAAATGCAAATGTATGACAAATAATAATAATAATGGTGACAGTTCGACCGTCATTTTCGGCGATTTCAACCATGTGCTCACAGCAGGCTAACAACAGACTGGGTGGCATGTGCGTGAAGTAGATTATTGCGGTAGTAGGCGTGCACAGCGTCTGCCGCACTCTCTCTTCCCTACTCCTTACCTGAGCCCGCAATCAAGACATAATCAGGCAGGCCGGAGAAGGCCCAGGTGGCTGGTAGGCCGGACCCGCACCAAGGCGTGCCACCATCCCCCTGGCCCACAACGTACTCTTGAAGAGTATTTTATGCACCAAGAAAAGGGGAGGGACCGCTCGGAATCCAAACTGGCGCGGCGAGAGCTTGCAGCTGGGATTGTAGCAACAACCCTGGTCCACAATACACACACTGACCAGGATGTAGGCTTCAACGTAGAACAAGGGCAACGGCTGACGCGTCCGGGGCCGCCCCTAGGCGATCCGTCATAGTCCGCTCGGATCACACAGAGTGAGACTACCATAGAGGCAACATTGTGAAGGAGCCCGTACAACCTGACCCGCATACCACCAGTCCGCCACTCCACATAAATACATATGTACTGGGCCGACTGCGAGGTCTAACTTATCCATCAGTTGGCAGCTTTCCAAGCCACGACATTTCGCGCCCCGTCAAAAATGAAAGAATGACGCAAGTTACTGGGCAACCCTGCACACGGTCTGTTTACCTAGCAGGAGCCCGGACGTGTCCACCGGCAGGGAATCAGATGCCAGAGAAGCGTGGCATAGCATACTTACACTATCCCTAAAACCCAATAATAATGGTAGAGGAGCGTGCATCGACGGCGTTAAGGAACTCATTCGTCCCGTTGTGCCTTGGGCTCCTTCTCTTGAGCACAGCGGTACGTAGTGTAGGTAGAATAACATTACTGAAAAAGACAAGAGGGACTGGAAAGGCCATTTCTGGCTTGTTAGTCGTCATCAGCCAGCCACGCCCAACCTCGAGGCATGCAATCCCCGAGGCTCGAACTTTCCACCTGTTGGTTAGAAATCTAACGCCTTGCCTACTGGGCCAGGGGCTTGTTGTCCTGTCAGTTTACGATCGCGTTGGACTTACGACCAACATTTCGCGAGTTCGAGCCTCAGGGTTGGGTGCTGCTAGCTGATGATGACTAACAAGCCAAAAATTGCTTTTCCCGTCCTCCTTTTCTTTACCGGTAATGCTATTCCGTCCATGGCGATTAATTCTGACCAGTTTGCAGTGAAAACATCTGGATGCTATAGGTTATTGACGGTTCTTCTGATTTAGCGGAGTCATGTCTTTGTTTCCGGTCAGTTTCCTCTTAAAAATCAATTATTGTTTTTGTTGGGATTCTAGGGTGTGATAACCGCTAAGGTGTAAAGCAGCAAGTAGGTTTTAAGCTCTCCTACAGAAGCAGCTGATGCTACACAAAAAGTGATCGCGATTGCCATCACTGTATTTTAGAAGACTAGACATACACCTTCGTTCTACTCCGCCGGTGGTTACAGTTTTCGTCGTATTTAAACAGAAGATGCCGTTCTAGGAGACCAGGGTTCCGCGGTAATTTTCCTCGTGTTCTGATGCAAAAACACTTTAATTTACGCCCCATCACGCAATGATGCGTTTTTGTGAAGCAAAATAAACATCTTAGAACGCCTTCACTTGTCATAAACCCTCTTCTTTTTAAAAAAATTTATAGATTGTGCCTCGCTATCCACAAGGCGATGTTCGCCCCCCTACCTCAATAGCCTAACCCCTTCTGTTGTGTCGCCTACTCGGTACCTGCGTTTATCACTGATTTCCTGAAAACAGAATCCACCCTAGTGACTGAAAATTTGTCTGAAAACAGTAAAAACAGTCTTGATCCCTGCACTTCTAAACAACAGGTTTGTTTCAGTTGTGTTCAAAGGGCTGGCGCACCCGCCAACTGGTTTTCATAGTGACTCGCCGTTCGAACCAAAATCCTAAATTTATCCCCTTCCAGGTAAAGGCCGACCTTCATCAACAGAGGAGAGAAGAGAAAGACTGATGTTTTTGTTAATTTCAAGGTATTCCGTAGAGATCACGCGAGTAAATCTGTACAGTCATATTGCATGAACACGCTGCGAAGCAGGCATATCGGTGGGCATCATAAAGGCATTTATACTTCCTCTCTTTAAAAAAAGAACGCACTTTTTGCATTTCCCAGAACTCCACAACAACTTCTACTCCAAAAGGAGAAGGGGCGTTCACCGGGAGGGGTTTATTTGAGGTCCGACGTTTCGAGTAGTTTATTCGTCTACCCATCTTCAGAGACCGAGAAGTCCTGTGCACAGCTCCCCTTTGTAATGGCGCCCTTTGTCCAATGCGTGATCCGCCAATGCCGCCTGTGTGGCTGCATCCAACCCGCATGTCACCCTGACCTGAATCGCCCTCGTCCGCCGCGGAGATGACTGACGGCACCGATTGTCCCGCGCCGTGACTGTCCCTCGCTAAGAAGGTTCGTAAAGTCAGATAGGGGGAAGGCAAATTGATGTGGCGGTTGACAGAGCGGTCGGTGGACATCCAGGCTTCTTGCACTTGCCTTGCTGTGTGATCGCCGCCCCGGCCCACAATCTCAACGGCGTCAAAGTTGAAGATTTGTCCCATTTGCGCGGCATGGGTTGCTACCTCCGACTTCGGGTCCAACCTTCGCACGGGTAACTTATGCTCGTGCATTCGCGTTTGCAGCCGTCGGCCGGTTTCCCCAACGTAGTTGCACCTTCCGCAGCTGCATTGAAGTCGGTAGACAACGGCTGACATCTCCTGCTTAGGGATCGGATCTTTTGTCCGCATCACTTGCCGGCGGATTGTCGAGTCAGGCCTGTGGGCAACACCTATTCCGAGTGGCTCGAGTGATCGAGCCACGGCTTCGAAGACCCCTTTAATGTACGAAATGCTCCGCCGCGAGTTTGACTGACTATGCTCTTCTTTCCGTTTCTTTGGCTGCCTTCGGCTCCGTTCAATGAATGCCCGCGGATAGCCATTGGCTCTGAAGAGTTCTCGGAGGCGCTTTATCTCGTCCAGTTTGGCGGCTGGCGTGCTGCAATGAGTTTCCACCCGTCGGTACAGCGCGTGGACACAGCTTCGTTTGTGTTATAGCGGGTGGTTGCTGTTGTAGCTGAGCATTTGCAGCGTGTTCGTCGGTTTTCTGTAGACCGACGTCGCAGTTCGCCATTTGGTTGGCGACAGACAAGAACATCCAAGAATAAAAGTTTGTCCCCTACCTCCTCTTCCCTCGTGAACTGTAGATCGGGAATGACTGAGTTCAGTACTTCCGGATAGTAGTTGATTTTATCCTGGACGATGACTACAAAGGTGCCATCAAAGTAGCGTGCCCAAAACTTGGGTTTGCAATCCTCGAATAGTCGTCTCACGAGTTTTTGTAGAACCGCCTCGGCAATGAGCACGGAGATTGGTGAACCCATTGGAGTGCCCTTGATCTGCTCGTATGCATTCCCGTCGAAGGTAAAGAATGTTTTGAGGCAGTGCCCTATGAGTTATATGAGATCCTGAGCTGTGGGCTGGCCATCTCCCCCGTCGTAATTTTGACGTAGCAGGTCACTGAGCGTTTCGACCGCAAGGACCTGTGGTATGGACGTGAAGAGTGAGACGGCGTCCAAAGACACCATCCTTTCATTCGGTTCGATCATGACTGCCCTTATTTTGTCAAGGAATTGTTCTGCTGAGTGCACCGTTGTTTGTGAGCCTGCAGTTAGGAATCTTAACTTCTGAAATAGCCAGCTTGCAAGCCCGCATGTCTAGCCAATCGGCCCCTTGTCACCTTAACGGCAAGAAAACCTATGGGATTATTTACCGTACTGACAGTACAGGTACTAGACACCGATCCTGTGCCGCTGCCTGACGCAGCTGCGAGAGGTTCGGCTCATCAGTGGGTCCCCCAGCGTTCTCCGAGCCTTTTTCTGGTATGTGAACACCAGTTTCATCCTGCTTTTTTTAGGTTTCGAGGAAACTGCTGCGCGAACTTGGAGTAAATCCCGCGGAATAGTATGGTAAATAACCACATAGTTGTATACTACGGCTGCCTATTGGCGGCCTGTGAATATTACGCGGTTATTCCGCAGTAACTGATGGATTTCGGCTCAGACATTCATATCAGTTTTCGGACCGAGCCAAAAGAGGTCTGTTCCGGAGGATTTACTCCAAGTTCGCGCATTAACTTCCTCGGAAATTAAACGGGACAAATAAGAGGACCATTTCAATCAAATTCATTTTGCTAACGTAGGCATTCCTAGTAATTCCCACGTGCGTCAGTTTCTGGCTGATTAACCCTAACATACCGTGAAACAGAGCCGGGATAAATTTTCGTATAAAGTTTTTTCCACAGCACTTTTCAGTGAAATCGTCTGTTGTGATACTCTTCAATTTATATTTGAAGTTATTTGCAATGTGATAACTCATTTGAACATGCACATATCTAGTAGACTGGACACTGGTCTGAGATGGATGGTGATAGCTTATTCATTCCAAGAAAGTTGTCAGTCGCAGCATAAAATTAAGCGACATTTTGCGAAGTAGGAATATTTGAGACGTCAGTCTATCGTTCACATGAGAAGGCCGCGTGTGAATTTAGAAATTAGAAAGTTGCATTTTCAGAAGAATAACTTCCTCGTACGTGATCGGTTATTATTCAAAGGCTAGGATTCGCTGCAAGAACAGTTCTTTCTTTGCCCCCCGACAGTCGGCCATGAGCGCAGCCGGCAGTTGCTCAAACCCCGTGGCACAGGGTTGATCAGTTGCGAAACTTATTAATTTTATAAAGTGTAATATTTTCCCTGAAATTCCATTGGCAGAAGCCTCTCAAATCTAATGGACTGTGCGACGACTGAAAAGCCCTTGATTTTTCAAAAATACTGGCGTTCGTTCTCAAGCTCAAAGACTGCCACTTGATGATAAACGACTGACTACGTTTCGTCTCTCACGAGGTGTCGCGCCGTGAAAGGGCATACTACCCAGTTGCCGATCTGGCCAACAGAGCAGAAAAGTCACATTAAAGCATTATAGATAAGCTACAGAGAGAGAGGTAAAGATGGGAGAGGACATGAAAGCCACTATCCGCCAGCTTTCATATGAAACCACCTTGAAAGTCCCACCCTAGACAACCCACCATGCAGCAGATGTCGAATCAAAATAACAGGGACAAAAGTGCAACCGCGAAGAAGGAAACACGATCGTTGGAACAAGTGCAACCCTCATGTGTTGGTCGCCCTGATGGCACGACCTTGGAGGCACTCCTTGTCCTCATAAACGCTCCACCTGCTGCCGTCTCCCATGCGCTGCCGAAAATCCTGAAAAATGGCCGAACTCTGTTACTACACCTTTAAATGCGAGAACGAATTCGAATGAGTTTGCTAAACTACAAGTCACGACACAAAATGCAAGGTCTTTTTGCAGGAGCGCCTTTCTGTCCACTTGCATAATTCGCTCCCGATGTAAATCATAGTCTAGTTGGTGTATGTACTTTTTAGCTTATTTCGGCGCCTGCATAAGTTTCATTTTGTTTTATGGAAAGACCTATAAAAAGTCATGTAAGCACCTCTTTTCGGTTTTAGAAGAGCTTAAAAAACCTATGCGCGAATAAATATACATATGAAACTAAAAACGGGCATCCCGAGAGATGTAATTATGAAGAGAAAATTTCTGGAGAACTGGAGCTTATATTGTGTAAATTTTCGATGCTGCCCCCCCTCCCCCCAACTCGGCTTCTTAAATGAGTCTAACAAAGGATTCTACGATTGGTCAACGTATATGCCACTACGTGTTAATCGCACTTCGTCACCCCTTCGGGATTGGTTGTGCCAGTTTGAATTTTTCCTTAACGCTTTTGTATGCGGCATCTACATTGATATACCGATTGATGGATGGTTCATCTGAGTGCTACGGCCGCCCGGACGCGGAAACCATTTATCTGGCGAACTCTCCCATACATGAAAAACGTATCTGAACTAGTCGAAAGACAACTAAAAATCATCAGATATACATGGCGCATTAGCCGGCAACTACCTTAAGCACACGGCCTGTACACCTTAAGGACAGGGTTGGCTATCTCGATAGACGTGTTGTCAAAAAACCCCATGTTCCAGTTGTGGTGCCATCTATTGTGGCCAAACTAGGAAATCTGTTCCAACCCATATGCGTAAACACCAGTTAGCGGTGGTCATGCACACACTAGACACTGGGCACAAAGTTGAGTGGGAGAATACTCGTACTGTTGGTGCCTGCCCATTAAGGAAAGGCCGCGAATCCATGCATCAATAAGCATATCGATCTAGATGCCGCATATAAAAGCGTTAAGGACAACTTCAAACTGGCACAACCAATCCCGAAGGAGTGACGAAATGCGATTAACACGTGTTGGCACAGACGTCAACCAATCGTAGAATCCCTTGTCAGACTCATTTAAGAATTTGGTTGTTTTTATGCACCCATTGTCTGAAGACGTGCTGAAGGGGGGGAGGGGACAGCCTCGAAAATTTACCCAATAAAAGCTCCAGTTTCCCTAAGAATCTCCTCTTCCTCATATATGTTCATGACCGTTCGACCGTCGCATCCGACGATGTCCACCGTGTGCTCCACAGCAAGGCGAAGCAGACACGGTGACCTACGCGTGATTTAGTTAATAGTGAAAGTAAACTGGCGCATCATCTGCCGTATTCTTTCCTCACCCACCTGGACCCGGTGTTAAGACAGAGTCAATAAGGCCGGAGGCGGGAGAGGGCATAGGTGGATGGCACGGTCGATTTCGCACCTTGGCGCTCCACTCCACGTCCCCCGATCCACACAGCAAAGGATCTGGGTTTTTAACCAACAACAGCGGCGGTGGGGGCTGGCACGGCCGAAGCCGCACCTAAACTTACCGTCAAGCCCGGTCTGCATCCCACGGAGTGGGAGTGCCATAAAGGCCACATTGGGTAGGAGCCATTGCAGCCTGACTCTTAGACCACCAGTCAGCCACTTCACACAAACACAAAATACTGGGCCGACTGCGAGATCCAAGTTATCCAGTCAGTTAGCAGCATTTCAAGCCACGGCTTTAAGAGCACCGTGATAGCTTCAAGCGCATCAGATTGGTTATAGTGCGAAAAATGGACTGACTTATCGACCTCACTCTCCCTTCCCATTCCCAGGCTTCAGTCACTGTCCGGGCTGGTCAGTTGACTGGTGCGGGAAATGGGCGCGGTGGCTGACATATTTAGTGACCTTGTCTGCGCGCAACACATGCACGACCTGGCCCCCCAAACACAAGCACTGGGATGCCAGACGACGGAGGTTGAGCGGCGTACATCTCACGTGCATGAGAGTGCCGTAGGTCACATGAAGAAGGAGCCGTTTCAGCCTGCCTCTCAGCCCACCAGTCCGCCACTGCACACATACGCACACAACTTGGCAGAGTGCGTGATGTATATGTTTATAGGTCTATCTATGCATATATATCTTCAGAAGACATACTAAGATTCAGTATGCCTTGGTTTCCAAACTATATCCTGTATACTTTCTCTGAAATAAATTCACATTAATCTGCTTATCTTTACAAAGGAGCTTCCTGGAGCTCAGAGAATATTTTAGTTTATGGGAATCAATTTACATACTTTTGTGAGTAGTATTTGGGAACCCGTAGGGGGTTGTGGCGGTGTTGATAGGGGTGAGGGGCGGCGGCTGCGGCGGCGGTGGGACAACAGGAGAGTGCGCACCAATGATGATGGTTGTCGCAGTTGTAGGCTTTGTGGGAGTTACGGCAGGGTTGGCGACGCGGGCATCTGCGGAGGCAGGAGGCGTATTTGTTGTGTTACGATTAGGATGCTTGTTGAGTCCGCCAATGCCGACACTGATCCAGGTGACTGACAAGGAACACATGTTGATTAATTGCACCAATAGGCCTAGACCCATCTTATCACGTCTTCCGAATTCATTTTCAGACAAAGCAAAGTTTAGGTGTCGCTTCTTCCATTCTGCTAACTGGTCACTATGTTCGCCATGGACAGAATTGTTAAAGTAAAACGGGACGGCAGCACTTTCCGCCCTATAGTAAGGTCAAATTGATGAACGTCATCACCGCTTGACTAACACTCAGTACACCTTTGAAAACCCGTGGTTACAGAGATCTGCGTTTTGCCCACTTGATGGATGGGGAGAAGGCCGCCGGTGAGGAGTATTCATCTCATTAGTTTCGTGAATTAACCTTTCTCTGTGGCTGGAGTTCTCCTGAAGTGCCTTAGGATAAGGACGATGTTGAAAAGTTGGCTAAATTAGCCGAACTAACTTCTTTGCTTTGAGTACCTTCTTATTAAGCATAAAAGTCCTGGTCGAAAAATTGGGAGAAGTCAAAACGTGGACAAAAACTAACTGTGCCATTATTTGACGTCCTCTTCGCTCCCGTAGTTTTGTTCTTCATGGAACTGGCACAAGTGTCGAAATCGAGGATTTTAAAATTAATTACCTCTGCGAGCCTGAGTTTCTCGACTGCCTGTCTCGAGTAGTCTTGAAACTATTAAGCTGCGATATACTCCCTGGACTGAGTAAGAGTTTTTTCACTGAGATCCCTGTGTATTTTGGCGTCCTTTTCTTGGAGCTTTCTGTGAGACCGGTGTTTTTTTAGCAAAAGCCACTTGTCAAGTTATGGCTCAGAATTGCAACAGAACAGATTACCCGTCCACGTTAATTAGATGAGCACTCTGGACTGGCGTTCTACAACCGACAACAAGCTAACACGCCTATGATTTAAAGTAAATTGGACGAATGTTCGTAGTCCCACGTACGGACTCACACTTACAAGCTATCAAGAATCGGCGTTCAGTGTTTTAACCAAATTCACCTTGTTCAGAAGACTATCGGCAGATGTTTACTTTCGGTTGACGAGTTTCTCCACTTTGACTTAGAAAAGCTCATTAGACCATTGGCACCCCAGACACGCAAAGCTATTTCCTGGTAATCACTCGTCGTCAGAACGCCATAGGCGTGTCTTGTACTTTCTGAAGTGAGATAGATGAAATTGTCAAGTAGGCGCATGACCCCAACTTGTCGTGATTGGAACCATGCTCGATCCCATTACGTCCGCTTCGGAAGGTACAGGATAGGCCTATGACGTACTGACGATCAGTAATGACAGCGAAACAGCTGTCTGAGACCGGTGCATTAGTGCCTCAAATGAGCTTTCTATGTACTAACATACTGCTCAGATCGATAATTGTTTGACCATTCCGCTATCAAATTACGTGTGAGCAGAAACTAGACCGCACAAAAGCATCTAAGCATGCGCTAAACATTTAACATGACCATTCGATGCTGGTCCTTTTCAAGGTCACTTATGGTTCCTTTGCACATGGCAGAAAAATATCGGAACGTTTAAACAAATGATTGTCTGTAGGCCTTATTATTGTTCTTTTGGGTATAAAATCCCTCATACTTACAAATCTGGCTTTAGGAAATCGATAAAAACGTCCGCTTTTCTAAAGACAACTACCTTATTCATATTAAGCTTTAAATAGTTTACATGGGATTAAAAAAAGTATTCCTGAGTGCGGCAAGTTCTGTTTTGGCAAGCCCCTGGAGGTTAAATTATTCTCTTCTGAAAAAAACGTGCGAAACTAAGTGCTGGACGGTTTATAACATAGGAACTTCCCTAAATATAAGGTAGCGCAGATTTCATCTTAAACCTGTCACCATTTATTTAAACACATATTTTGCATAAAAAAGTATTCTTCGGAGAGGTTGAGCGGATACGAAAAATGCGCAATATTTTAGGTGTCTAAAATGACTACATCAGTTTCCATCATCACGTTTCAGGACTTAGGTCACATGCTGTATGTTGCGATTCTTGAAGGTAAATAAATTTGGCTAACACTTTCCCCTCTCATTCACTCATGGATCCGTTTCTATTTCAGCGCAGGGCACGAACTATTTTCTTTCAACGATCGAGTTGGATTCGTTGTTTTTTCAGGGGGGTCGATAATATCCTCAAGGTGACGACCAACCGAAAGCTTTTAAAGAAAAGGGAGACTTGCGCTGTTTCCTTAACTGCAAAAGTAGAAATGCGTTTTTTCTTGCCTTTGGACCATGGTGTTTCAAAATCTTTGCTGCCAAAAAATTCATCATTTGGAAAAAAGCTATTAACTTGCTCTTACGCGAACAAGCATGTGATGACCACATTCCCGTGACCAAACCTTTATGGTTGAAACAGTCACTCCCACTAAACATAAAACCTAAAAATGATATTTCTTATATATTAAGTACAAGAAGCGAAGTTTCTGTGTATGATGGAGTTTATTCTGGCACTCGACTAAGAGAAATGCTGAGTCGGAAGAAATGCTAACTTATGGCAATCATGCCGGTGTGTACGAACTGACTTGGGATTACAGTCCATGCTAATCGACATCACAGGCTCACCTGAGGAATTGTTTTTTCAGTTAGAAAACCTCATCGTCACACCTTTGTCAAATTTACTAATAAATCGTCAACACTGGGGATGAGACGCGTATTAGGGTAGAACCACTAAAAATAGCAAAACGAAGCATAAAGTGCGCGATAATAGAACCCGTAAATAGAATTCATCTGTTTAGGCCCTGAAAAAACGCGTGACATGTCAAGGAACAAACCAATTAAGGCGGTAAACTAACCTTGCACACAGAACTTAACTGCCATTGGCCGCAGCCGCACAGCGCGCCAAAGAACGCGTCAGTAAAGCAATAAGAGAGTGCGTATTTCTTGCTACTTATTTTGTAAAAGTAACGATATGTATGTAACTGTGCATGACGAAGCATGTGACGGCGGAACGCTGGCGGATCCGGATTCGTTAAGCACAAGGTTAAGGGTTGACGCCTGCGAGAGGGTAACTCAACTCTAGCCCAAGCCACTTGTCCTGTTTGCTGGCCTTCAGGCGTCGTAGCCTAATTTATTATTTCAAGCCATCTAATAGAATTAAATAGTACTGGGGTAAACGTATTTTTTGCTAAGGGGTAACGACATGGTCCCCTTACCCCACTTAATGTACGAAAGCACACTTAAAGTAGTTTCGACCAATGTTTTACGCATACAAAATATTTGCCGCGACCGGTTTTTTTTGTCTTCGGGATACAACATCAGTGTCTGGGTCGATTCCTCCGCTTCGATCTCCAACTTTGAAATGTCCTCTTTTGGATTTTCAAAATTTAACCAACCCAGGATGTCAAAAAGTCACACGAAGGGACACTTCAACCTACCCTTAAATTTCCAGATCTTGAGAGCACGGAAACGGTAGCATAGTAATGATCAGTCTACGATTAAGTGGCGTTGCAATCAAAGACAGGGGGCACTGGAACGGCCAGCTATACCCCAGTCCCAGGCAGACAGCTGAAAGAAACTCGTTCGAACATTTGATCCAAAAGTGCTCGTAGGCCAGCCGACTTTTTTAAAGGTCCAGACATCCGACCTGGTTTTCATTAGCCAATGGTGTAAAGTGAATCAGAAATGGCCGTACCAGTGTTCTTTGTCTTTTCTTGGTGAGGTTTTACGAGCAAAATGAGGTTTTTCGATAATGTCTAGTTTTGTTTCTTCTGAAAATCCTGGAGGACACTAGATATCACACGGGTACGACAAAATGAGTGTACAAATAAGTAGGTCTAGTAGATGCAGGTCTTCTGCTAGAATTACACTCGGGGTCTGATAGTTCGACCGTCGTTGTCGACGATGTCCACCATGTGCTCCACAGCAAGGTGAGAGCAAGCACGGCGACTTGTGCGTGAATTAGTTTATAGTAATAGTAGACTTGCACAGCATCTACCGCACTCCCCCCTCCTCCCCAATTTGAAACAAGAAGACCGAAGATGGGAGAGGGCGTAGGTGGATGGCATGGTCGAGCCGACGCCTAAGCGTACCACCACAACCACCGGTCCACGACAAACACCTAACCAATAGTTTAACCAGCAACTAAAATGGGTCGGAAATAGAGGGATGGCGCAGGCCTTACTATACTAAATAAACACACATAATTAAGATATGCGGCCAAGGAGTGAGTATATGTGCGGGGTAAGAAAATGCCAACTGTTGTTTAACAAATTCACCAGCGTTTGAACACTCCTGCTTTACTGGTAGACGCACGCATTCCATCTATCACCATTTCAAGTATTTTTTTCTACCTGAATGCTCTCCGCGCCGAACTTTTTTAAATTGAGCTTTCCTCTTAATAAGGAATTACGAGTGGGGTGTGCAGGACTAATGTAGGCTTGCACAGCATCTACCGCACTCTCCCTTCCCCACTCCCCACCTGGACCCGGTGTCAAGACAAAGTCAAGAAGACCGGAGGCGGTGGAGGGCGTGTGTGGATGACACGGTCGATCCCGCGCCTTGACGCTCCAGTCCACACCCCCCGGTCCACATAGCAAGTGACCAGGATTTTAACCAACAACAAAAGCATGACTGGCATGGCCGTAGCCGCACCTACCCCAGCATACAACCTCCCTGTCATATGCATCCGTGTACATCGCTTCAACGTCGGTTAGTCTGTCGGACATTGTGGGATACTCTCGTCAATTTTTTGACACTGTAATGCTTAGTATGGTGTTCAGTAAATTACATCCACTCAATAATAAACTCCAAGACTGACGCGAACACGCTATTACCTAACTCACTCAGAAATGCGTCTCACATCTGACCGCCGACTTACTCTAACAAAATATTCTTCAGCTATTCTGTACAGAATACAGGTGTCCCTCTATTCGCTTTTGTCCTCGCCTCCCACTCGGAGGCTGGTCTTAGGGTCAGTGTGCTTACTGTATGCTGATAACGGCGAGACAAATCCGGGTAGCCTGGGATTATGAGTCAACATTGTTGACGTACTTACTTCCTATCAGTAGGCGTGCTTTTATTAAGTTACATATTTC